TAATTTTATTTAACTTACTAAGAAACTTAATTTTAATACTACTCAAACTAGTCTTGGCGGGAAGGGGGGGGGGTGTTAAGGGCGCCAAAACATGGTTGCGCCCAGGGCGCTAAAACTTCTTGCGCCGGCCCTGGTGCTGAGCGTAAATTTACTATGTTACGCGTTTGTAAGACAGAGAAAACAAATAAGAGTGATGTACCCTCTTAATTATAATGTATTGGTTCAATATCACATTAATATATCACATTTTTACATAGCACTGTTTTTGATTTTATAACAAAATAATAAAAGACTTATGAATAATAATATTATAATGATTATATTAATCAGTTTAATGTTTTGTAAAGGTAGTTTGATAAAATATGTTAAAACAAACATTTTTTTTATTTACAAAATCAGTAAAATAAAAATCTGTTGATGAAACTATTACAATATAGACTATAGTGCACATCCATACATTATACCAACACTGTAGTAATATATTTTCAGATAATCAACAAAATATTTATTTGTTAATTGTTTATTATTAACATTGTTTTTTATTATTACATCAATACATACATATTAAACCAAAATAAAATATGGAAGTATAATGAAAACAACAACTTACCTAATTATTGTTTTAACTTAAAATATAAATTAATCAAACTTTCTACATAACTATAATATGAATTAACTAGATAGTGTTTAAATTAAAAAAGTGTTGGTATAACTTAGAAGTTAATATCAGCAATACAATATATATTATGCAATATTTTTATCTTAGGAATTATATTTATATGGTATTGGTTTGTTATATCCCTATCGACCCTATCTAGTCCTGTAAAAACTCAACCCCACCACACAGATTTGTTATCCTGCAGCCATCCATAATAATAAATATATTGTTTTAATAATATGACAGTTCTTGGAAAAAATGTACCATGACTGTAGGTTTCCAGCATATAATATAGAACGTTTAACCTAATATTAATATAAATATAAAAATAAAATTAAAAACCATTTTAAATGAATTTTATTCTATATTTTTTGGCATTTTATATTCCTTTTTTTTTTGCATTTTAAGTGCATATTTTATTGCATTTTTAATGCATTTTTTAAGGTTTTTTAGTGCATTAAATTCACAGCCCTACTAATAATCAAACATCAAACAGTATAAGAATAACCACTGTAGATCTGAGTAGGGTTTGTAATTTTGTCACCAAGCTATTACTTGTTTAAATACTTGAGTAGGTACTTTGACTAAATATATTTAAAAATTGATAATTATCACTTAAATCTTATTTGTTATTAAAATCATTTTTTTATTTTCTTTTTTTGGAAGTTTTGAGATAAATTTCTCAAGCACCCGTGCAAGTATATAACGAACCAGTACCATTGAGATATTTAAGAGCATAAGTTACAAACATTAAAATAAGAAATTATAGTAGAGAGCAAAATGAAATAATAAACACTGTGATAACAGATTCATACCACAATCAAATTATCTCTTGAGTATTTTAAATAGGTACTTACACAACTTCTGTAATTTCAGTTTGAACATCTTTCAAATCTGGATTTATTTGATTTAAATAGGAATTGATTACTAATAATCCGGGCTTCGTTTCTAAACTAGTTAAAAAATAATAAGGTATATGTTTTAAATAAATAAAATAAAATATATACGTAATACTTCACAGTAAATTTTTCATAATTACTTCGATTCATTTACATTCCGACATTTATCATTAGGTATCACGTGTAAATCTTCCATTTTTATAGAAAATGAATAATTTGTAACACAAGAAAAACTGAAAGCCTAATATAAATTATATATTTCGTTAAAAAATATACATAGGAAAAATGGAATGTTTATTGTTTAATGATAATACTTATATCATATTAATCACTCAGATAATAATAATTGGTGATAAATGATAACTGATAAAACGATAACCATAAACTGTATGTTCAGTTGCCTATACATGACTTAGGTATATACTATATAGTGAAGTTGTCCAAAATGTATAAAATAATTATATTTACAATTATAATATTAAAAATCAAGATAAATATTGAGGACGGTTATCTTAAATAATTTTGGTACCAAATCTCAAAGTTAAAAAATGTATTATTAGTTCATAATTGTTTTAAATAAATACATTTAAGATTTAAATAATTAAAATCTCCATAGTGCATATGTAAAGTGACCATATATTTTTTTAATCAAAATGGGACAATAAAAAATCATAATTTTTGTTATGAACAAATATTAGATTCTGAGCGGAGTGATGAATGTCTTGATTTTACCATGATGTGTGTGTTTTTGTGTGTCTATTATCACGTTTTGGGGCAGTAAAAGTGCTTCGATTTTTGACTTCAGTACCTTATTCGATCATAAAGTGAATCTAGTTGGTACTTRGGGGTCAAAAGTGAAAAATTCTTAATACTTTTCTAAATAATCGAGAAAAACAAACTAAAAATTAAGGGA